GGGGGGGGGGTTGCTTGTATATTGTGTGTAGAGGGGTGGGGGGTGCTTGCATTGTGTGTGGGGGTGTGTGGATATGGTGTGGGGGGGATGTGGGGTGTGTGGGTGTGGTTGAGATGTGGGGGTGTGGGATCTGGGTGTCTGGGTATGGTGGGGTTTGTATGGTGCATGTGTGGGACCTTGTTGGATGTGTGTGTGGATATGGTTGGAGATGAGATGTGTGTGGCTGAGATGTGGGGTATGTGTGTAGGTATGAGAGGGTGAAGTGTGCGTGTGGGGAGGGGGTGTAGGTGGGATGTGGGTATGGTGGGATGTATGTTTGCGGTGTGGGGGACAGTGTTGGGTATGTGAGGGGTGTGAGTACATGTGTGGAGTGTGTGGTTGGGTGTGGGTAGGCTGGGTGTGCATGTGTGGGGGGCTTCCTTCCCAAACCCAGCTTCCCCCCCACCTGCTTTTTGGGATGTGGCTGAGCCCAGCCCATCTTCAGGTGAGAGGAGGGGGAAGGGGATCAGTGCTGCCTGCCTGGCTTGCCGTGCACTGCACAGGGCAAGGAAGCAGCTGCTTCTGGTAGGCACCAAGAGAACCCCCTAGGAGAGGGAAGGGAGGGTGGGCAGGGAGCTGAGCCTGTTGCCACCACCTCCCTTGGTCTCCATCCCACACCTCCCTGTGCTTGCTGTTCCTGCTGCTTCCATCCCACATGCCTGCCTAGTGGGGCTGCACCAAGCCCACACTGGCTTCTGCTCCCCCCACGTACCTGTTTTGTGCCCACCTGGTTGGGCTTTGTGAGCAGATGAGCTCCTTCATGGACCCTCCTCTCCATCCACGCACTCCCCTGCCCAGCCATGCACAAGCAGAACCAAAGTGAGCTGCAAGTAGAGCCTACCCCACTCCCCTCAATGCTGTAGCTTCCCCTTCATACCTGCTGCCTGGAGCACTCCAGCAAGGACAGGAGGAGGAGAACCCTGCAGTTCCCTAGGTGGTGGCATCAGCGGCAACATCAACCCTGTCCAGAAACTGTCTGCTGGCCAAGGCAGGTGCCCTCCAGTGGGGAAGGCAGGAAGTACAGCACATGCTGTCCCAGGTGGGAACAGCCCGGTGCAGAGCACAGCAGGGGTGGCTGCTGGTGGTGCCTGATACAACAAAATGGTGGGTGCCAGCCTGTGGGCCAGATCCAATCAGCTGGCAGGCCTGATCTGGCCCATGGGCCTTATTTTGGGTTAAAGAATAATGCCACCTTGGGATCTACAGTTATTTTGTGTTCAACTATAATGTGATATTGTGAAAAAGGCAGATGTGATGCAATGATGTATCAGAAGATGTGTCTAGTAGACATTGGGGAAAGTAATGTTATTGTATAGTGGCCTTCTAAAATCTCATCTAGAATGCTATATACATTTATGGTTGCCCATGTTGAGGATAAATTAATTCAACCAGGAACAAGTGCAGAAAAGGGCTGCTTTGATGATCAGAGAAATGGAAAGCTGATCTTGTAAAAGGAAACTAAATGGCTTATTTCAGATTAGCAAACTGAAGGCTCAGAAATGATATGATTGCTCTCTATCAGTAAAGCACCAGGGATGGGAAAAGAAATTTAAGCTGAAGGACAAAGTTGGCACAAGAACAAATGGTTGAAAATGGGCCATGAATGAGTTAGAAATTTATATTTCTTATTATTGGAAGGGTAAGGTTGTCAAACAGCCAATACACATAGCAGGTACAGAAACTGAACTAGTTTTAAAACAAAGCTTGGTCCATTTAAGAAAAATTAAGTGATGTCTGGATGTGTAATGTCAGGGAATTAGACTCAAGAAGTAACTAAAGAGGTTTCTTTGAGTCTTATATTCCTCACTTCATGAAAGTAGCTGTAAAGTTTACTACTTAAATACCTGGTATGTGCTTGAGACAAGGATGATGGTAAGCAATACCATAAAAAGGAAGAATGAATGAATGGGGGCTGTTATATCATTTCACATACAGTACTAAACTGGTTGATTCAAAGTTTTCCATGTCTGGGGCCTTGTCACACATTCACTTGCAACAACTGCAAATCATTCAAAGAGTGACCTATTAAAGATAGTATATATTAAGAGAGAACCCTCCCCTGAAAAGGAACAGCTTTGCAACTCATGAGTACACTTAATATGTGTTAAATTACTTGAACCTGTGTCTGCTCACATTTTAACTGCACCTTAGTAAGTGTTAAGTTGAATGTGTGACACAACCCTTAGTAAATGTTGACTATGTAAAAAGTGCCATCTTAAGTCCCTTTCCTAAACATACATTTAACTTGAGAAATAGAATTAGTGGTGCTAGTCAATAATAAATTTTCAATTTACATCCTAATTAATTTGATTCTTTTTAACATGGGATCACAAGGTCAAACATAAAAGAATCCATTAGAGGGCAGTAGTACATATAGCTACCATCTGGCATATTACAAGGTATTGTATTTTTGGATTTTTTTTTTTTTTGTATACGTAACGAAGAAGAATGCATCAGAGCATTCTGACCTGCATCGTTATAATCACGCTTAATTTTGTCACATCTCAAACAAAACCAAAATGTATTTTGCTAATATTATTCTATGAAACCTACTTGTCATATTAAGAACATATATGAGAACTCCAAATTTATGTTAATAGTATAGAATCTCAGGAAAGAACATCTGTGATCACATATATTACAAATAGATTTTCAAAGATGGAAGTCAGACTTCTAGTTTCATGTGTTATATACTTACGAAGTCATTTAATAACTTGAGTATATGGCACAAGTACTAAATAGAGAACTTTTATGTTTCTTAGCATTTCCCCCCAAGAATATTTAAGTTTAAAATAAGGAAGTTAGTTTGTTTTTCCTTTTTCAGTGTTGGATCCAAATTAACTTCCAGGCAGGAAGGTGGGAAGGGTAGAGGTTCTGTGGAATAGTTCAAGGGGGCAATGTTCAGAACTGTTTTCTCCCTATTCAGGTATGTTTTTTAATTTTGCTGATTAGGAATCATTAAAAGTGTATTGCCATTTTAATTTAAATCAAATAAAAGATTAAATATTCATGAAACTAGTGATGTCCTCTGAGATATTTAATACTTGAAATGTGAATGCAAAAGGCTAGATTCTACTATTTATCCTCCAGCAGTCCCATTGACTTTAGTGGATTTAAGCAGGTGTCATAGAAAATAAAATTAGTCCAGTTAATAAGCTTGATATTTAAATTAACTGTTTTCACATTTCTAAAACAATTGAATAGATAAACCTTTTTATTATTATTTCCAGTTATATTGCTTGATACTACAGCTGCACTTGGAGAGCTTGGATGGAAAACCTATCCTTTAAATGGGGTAAGTCGCAAAGTATTTTTTGTTTTTGTATTCAGCACTCAGATACTTTTAACAGTAGAGTGGATTATTATAGCTAAATGGATAAATATGGCAAAAAAGTAGTAATGGAAAGATTTTAGTTTACCTAAGTCTGCAGGAACCTGATCTAAGATAATACTGAGTGCCAAGAATGGCAAGTAAATGTGTACATATATTCACTCAATGGTATTCTCATAGATAAGAGCCCATCAGGATATGTAATCTAAATCCATAGTTTGAAATTTCTAATTCAGTTGTAAAAAAAAATTTTCTGTACTAAAATGTTTAAAATGAGGGAGAGGTGACAGGAATAAGATTTTCTCTAAATTTAATAGGAAAATAAATTCCACCATTTGTTATAGCCGCATGAAACAGCACTCACATGGTTGAAGTGGGCTTTTTGGATTACATTTTTTGATGGCACACTTTCAAATTCAGAAGGCCCACTGAATACAATGAAAACAATGAGGGAAATTTTAGAAAATTGTTATTTATGGAAAACATTGGGGGTTTTTTTCCTTCAGTAATTATACATCAGATGTTTAGTATCTTGGATAATGTCCATTGTACTATACTGTGTATACAGATCAACACAACAGGAAGCACTGGGTACTTCATAAGGCACAAGGTCTTGGAGAATTGCAAGGGGTTAGAATCCATGGTAATGCCACAGGAGAGAAGGAGAATGTTCTCACTGAAGTACAGCTACAAGTACTTCTTCAGTGGCTATATTTCAGAGGTTGTGTTTTCCTTGTCTGATGGCCAGTACACTTAACAGCAAAACCGAGACATTTTTAGTTTGTTTTAATTAATATACAGTATACTGGAGTATTTATTTCCTCTTTATAAGTTGGCTTGTGAGGTATCCTGGGCAGGCTGTAAGTTTAGTAGCTCTTGCTTTGTGTGTCATTTTTTGTTTTTTCTTCTATGTGATTATTATCTCTTAATTACTGGCTGTGATGCATGAAATCAGCTAATTTCTAAAATAAGTTGCAAATGTAGGTCAGAAAATATTTCTGCTGTTGAAAACATTTTCTTTCATTCTTGCTTCACATTCTGAAAAGGAAATAAAAATTGTCCATCTTCAGCACTTTAACTCATTTTATAAAATGTCTTTAGTGTCTGTGTCATTACAGACTTCAAACAATGTGATATTTCTTAATCTCAGTTGATTTCATATTTATCAATTACATTTTTCAATATTTCCCAGGTCTTTCAATTCTTAGGCATTTTCAGTCTATTAATAGATATTTCAGTATTTTTGCTTTGCAATTTCACATAGCCTGAATTCTAAAAATTCTGAAAACTCTTTTGGAAATCATGAGTAAACCAATGTCTGACACCCATACTGATGACAGAACTACAGTACAATACCTTGTTCCTGTGATGAGACCCATTAAGCAGGTCTCATTATGTGCATCAGATAAATTTCTTTTGATACCAATTTCTTAACTAATTATTTTATTATCCACATTCTAAGAAGCTTCTGTGTTGTCACTACTCATAGACTGAAAGTACAAGTAGAAAGAAACTAGAGGATTTATGCAGTTGTCAGAAAACTTTGTTTATATAAAGTGTCTTTTGTCCTTCAATTTTATAGTACATTTTAAAAACACACTGAGATTTTACCAGAAGAATGGACTTTACTCTTTTAGTTGAATAATTGGAAGTGTCTATGTCAGTGAAAAGAGTTCAGGTACAAGCTAGCTCTAAATGTTTGTGATTATGCTTATTTTAAAAATGTGACCTCTTTGTGGGAATTTTGAAAAGAATATCAGTAAAAAATGTGATAAATGCTTTGGAGAAAAAGAATTGCTAAATGCTTACAGTTTGAGGAAAGCATTTTATGTAGTGTCACATTGATAATTAGTTCAGCTGGAAAGAAGATAGGAATTTAGTAATGAAATTTTCTGATTTAATTAAGAGAATTAATTAAAAGACAACGTGGAGGAGGACTAAAATACAGTAAGAACTGTAGTAACAGAACTGGAGTAACAGAAATGGTATAAATTTTAATAGTACAATGTGCAAGGTCAGGCATGGTGGATTAACTACAAGAACTTCTGCCTTAAACTAGGAACTCATCAGCTGAAAATGAGCCAGGAAGAGAGATGATCTTGGTTAACTATGAGCCACCAGCATGGCATAGCTGAGAGAAAAGGGAAAATAATTTTAGGATTTCTCTTTTTCTACTAGAGAGAAAAAAGTATTAATGTGTCAGTTCTAAGCTCAGTTGAGATCTCTGGAATACTATATATGGTTCTGGTCACCTGTTTTCAAGAAAAATGAATTCAAACTGGAACAGATGGAGAGAATACTAAGATGGTCAGGGAAATGGAGAGTCTATTGTAGAAGAAGCTAGAAGAGCTTTTCTGAGGTGGGCTATAATAGCATTTCATAAATAATCCAGGAGGATACACATGAGTGATAGGGAGAGACTATTTAAACTTAGGGACACCAGTGTCTCAGGCATACTCTAGTTGTGAATACATATAGTTTAGCAATCTGAAAAAGGTTATTAAGCATGTTGGTTTCCATCAGGAAAGTTCCCAAGCCTTCCAGTTGTAGTGGTAAGAAACCTAACTGGTCAAAAATGGAGCTTGTTAAAACTTAATAAAAGGATTCTTTAATGCTCTGGAGTGTGATTGCAGAGAACCAGTTCTAGCAACTGACAAGGTCCCTTCTGGGCTTTTTTACCAGAATATTGAACATTGTTTGAGGCAAAGGTTTTTGTGAGTGATATCTTTTATTGGACCAAGAGCATGATTGAGATACTTAGACAAGCTTTCAAATGTGAAGCATTTTTCATTAGGTCTAAGGAGAAAAGAAAGCACAGCACTATTTAAAAATAGTGTGTAGGGTTCTGAAATTGGAGAAGAGAGACATTCCCAGCAGTAATAGACAGATAAACAATTTAACAGAAGAAAAGACAGTTTCATTAGTGGAAGAGTAAGACCTTTCAAAACGTAAGAGAGTGATGACCGCCTTTAGCATATAGAAAGATTTCTAGCAATCAGATAGATAGATTGTATGCCTGTGAAAGTCTCATAGTTGCTAGTGACTGGTTAGCCTGTGCCTGTCTTGCTTCGAATATTCGTTCACACACTGCCTTGGCACATGCACCTGGTGACAGGCACAGGGAAGCTCCATGCAACCTCAGATGGGGACCCCGAACACCCCGGGGAGGACCCCAGAACTTGCCTGCCACAACTTTGAATGTATCTTCAGTGGTGGGGTCTTCTGTTGGCAGTCCCTCAAGATTGGTTGTGTCTTCTGATGGATATTCATGGGGCTTCACCTCCCCTACACCCTGCCATATGCCAGACACTGACGGGACACCTGATTTTGATGTGGGTTGCTCTCCAGTCATGATGGTCCTTACCCATCACACACTTTCAAGTGTTGGATCTTCTCTAGCCTCCTTCATGGACTACGGGTTCGTTGGATGTTCCTCTGTCCTCCACGTCTCTCCCACTCAGTGCTGGCTGCTTGTCAGCTTTTGTGAGTGGCCCTTGTAATTAGGTTGTTGCTTGGACCTCTCAGCATTGGGTTATCAAAAAATTAAAAATAAATCAACAAACAAGGTAAATGGCAAAAGAAGAATATGCACAGGCCAGAAGGCAACGAACAGAAGGACACACAAAAAGGAACACAAGGCTGGTAAAAGAAAAAGAGATCAGGCTGGACTGCCTCGGTATATTGCCTGCCCTGAAGCCTGTGCTTGGCTGTGTGCTCTGATGCTTCTTCATTCTCTATCTTGGCTGCGCTTCCTCCACTTCTCTCTGGGTCAACTCTTCTCCCTTGACCCAGTCTTTGAGTGCCCAGTGTAGGGAGCTTTTTCTGTCTCCAGGGTTTGCCCCTGCTCTTCCCTGAATGAGGTTTCCTCCCACACACCACCAGTACTGCCCATGACCAGCGTAGAGGCTTGTTGCAGCTGCTGCTGCCACTGGCTGCCTGCCACTGGCATGGAGAGCCTCTGCTGCTTCTCCCACTCTCCCCTGCTCCCAGCTGGTGTCAGCTTTTATCCTAGCTGGCCGGCGAACATCAGTGATGTCTCCTGCTGGTTTCAGCTGTATATAGGCGCGGCTGATGAACTGTGTAGTTTTCTCCTGTCGGCATTGCTTGTCTGGCGTCCAGACTCCTAAAGTGGGTGAGTATCCTCTGATTTCAGGGTTTCTCCTTCAGGGGTCCCCCATGTTTGTTCTCCTGGGACACAGCCACTATTCCTCTTCACTTTAGGTTGCCTTCCTGTATGCTTGCCCATAATTCCTTCATGTTTGAAAATGCAAAGAAAGAGAAAAAGGGAGGTGAAATCTTCCAGTTATCTTTAGTGTTAGGGGTAGCAGCAAGGGTTTTCTTCACAGGGCTCTGCCTCCTGTACACTCTGCCCTTACCAAACCTATGCAAACACAAGCCCGTGTTCCCTTTCGGCCTCACCCTTACAGTAACTGCGATATGATGACTGATTGTTGACCAGTTGTTCTAGACTTTTACTTGCAAGGAGTGACTGATAATAACCCATTCCTTATAGGTTCACAACACCCACTAAGTCTTTATTTCATTACCCAATTAGTTTGTAACCACTGTATCTTTCCATTATAGGCCCTTATTTTCCCCTTGCCTCTGGCTAAATATCAGCATTCAATTGATTTGTTTGCCCCCATCCATCAATTAACAAGTTAATCTGTGCTCAATCCTGTCCTTATTTTGGGTCTATTAATTAGCAAGCATTCTACATTAATTCATACACATTTACAGCCCATCTACTATAAGATTTAACACCATTATTTATATTCCATCAATTAACAGATTTCCTTGTGTCTTGTCAAGCATTCTTCTATTGCCTCAACTCACACAGTGTCCCATTAATACATCCATTGACTCTTTAATTAATCAGGTCCTATACCCTTTTATCCCAGGACTGTCTGGTCTGTGAACCAGATTCTCAGCCTTCATTGTAATTAATTTCTTCATTGTAATTA